GGTTCCAGCGCTGGGAGCGGGCGCCCGACGGGGGCACGGAGGGGTGGTCGTGGGGGCGGCCGCGTCCCCGTGTGCCGCACGGCAGCGGCTTCGGAGAGGCGCGGTGACCCCGCGTGCCGCGCCCGGCTCCGCTGCCGCGCCCCGATGCGGAGCCCCGCGGTGCCCACGGAGGGGTGCGGGGCCGAGGGGGGCCCTCGGGGTGGTGCAGCCGAGGGGTGAGGGCCAACCCCCCTCCAGACGCAGGAATCCGGCTCGGGTAAACAAGTGAGTAACCCGGATAAGAGCGGCCCCGCTAAATATAGCCGGGTACGGCGGGCACCGCGCGCCCCGTCGCCGCCCCGCTGCGCGGCTGGAGCGGGCGCAGGTGAGCCGCGTCCACGCGAGTCCCGCCCCACGCGTGTCTCCGTGCCACCCGTGCCAGCGCAGCCCCGAACGCAGCGCTCGGCCCCAGCCCGGAGCGGTGTTGCGGGGCGGCGGGGGGCGCGGGGGGCTCCGAGCGGGGCGGGGAAAGGGGTCGGGACGGCTGGGGGGGGAGTTGGGGCCGCTCCCAGCCCGGCCCTTCCCCGGCGCCTCCCGCGGGGCAGCGCTGCGCCGATCCGCGCCGAGCGGAGCTCCGCTCTCAGCCGGACCCCCCCGCACCGCGACGGCCGAGAGGTACGGCGGAGGGACGGGGGGAGCGGCCGGGGGGTCGGGCGGGGCTCGGGGGGGGGGGGGGGCGGAGAGGATGGGGCGGACAGAGACCCCCCGGGGGTGGGACGGACGGGTCGAGGAATCGGGAGGGGGGGAGGGGGGATGGACGCACCGCGGCGCTGGGAACGACGGAGAGATGGATGGAGCGTCCGCGACGGGCAGAGGGGCTGTGTGGGGCGGGGCGGGTGGGATGGGGGTGGGGGTGGGAACGGAGATGGGATGGGATGGAGATGGGAACGGGAGTGGGAATGGGAAAGGGATGGGCTGAGAGGGGACTGAAATGGAGATGGGGATGGGGACGAGTTTGAGATGGGATGGGGTGGGGATGGGGCCTCGTGCCGTGGGTCACAATAGGGACAGGTGCTTTGTGTCACCGCCGGCGGCGCCCAACACCACGGGTGTCTCCTGCCCCGATGTCCCCTGGAAGTCCCCTCTCTGGGCTCCGTGGTTTTGATGGCTGTGGGTCTGGGGAGGGATGCTGGAGCTCTGCCAGCTCTGCGTGACGTGGTCGGTGCATTTCCCGTCCCGGCCGACGGCCTTGAGCAGATCTGCACCGAGGGCCGCGGGGACGGAGCGCCCATCTGTGTCCGTTGGGTCATCGGGTGGGGGACACCACAGGGTGCATCTCAAAGCCAAGAGGAGAGCTGGGACACGAGGGACCCAAAGCGGGGACCCGCAGCTCTGCGCCCTGTGCAGCACATCCCCAGAAAAACACCACCCTGATGCCAAAAACCCCATTAATGCCCGTTCCAGCCCACACCGGAGCTGCCAATGCATTTCAGGGCTGCAACTGAGGAGCAGAATCTGCCCACCGGCCCCTGTGCCCCCCAGTGGGGCTGAGGCACAACCTCAGGGTCTGTTCCCCACAGGAGCTGCCCCCACGCCGTAGATTGAGGACCCTCTGCCCCCACTCATCGATTCCTGCCTGTCTCCGTGCTGCTCTGCAGCTCTCTCTGTCTCAGTTACAGCCCTGCCGGTGCTAATTGAGCTCACGTTAATATTTTATGCCCTCTAAGTGCAGCCCTGACAGCTCGCGGGGCTGTCCATCCCCATGTCCCCTCAGTGTCCCCAGGAGTGCAGGGCTGTCCCTGGCTGCGGGATGAGGTGTGGGGAATTGGGTGACCAGCAGTCCCACGTGGGGAGTGGGCCCTTCTTACGGGGCCTGTGGGTGCCCTATGGGGCCGCTCAGCTGCCGGGGGATCCCATGGCTGAGGGTCGCCTGGGACGCAGCGTGGCATGGGGACACAGCTCCATCCAGACAGCGACAGGACCCCACAGCCATAGGGCAGCACAGGAGTTTGGGGACGTTTGCAGTGATGGCCGCTGTGGGTCCTCCATAATGTTGTGGTCCTGAGAGGTGGTGGGGCAGGGGAAGTGGCATCCAGCAGCTCGGGGACAGGGTGAGCGGGTGGCACTCATCCCTGCCCTGGAGAAACGGGGGAGGCATCTGCTGCTTGGGTGCCCATTCCTGGGGGTGTCCATTCTTTGGGGTGCACAGGACCCCCAGGATGGGGTTGGGAGCAGCTCCGTTCCATCCCAGGCCGCCCCATCTGCAATGATTAGCAGTGACAAACTACTCAAGACAAAACCAGCTGCCCTTACGCTTCACAGCCCAGTGACAAAGCCTCAGCTCCAGCCAAGGATGGGAAACGTGAGAGCCGGCCCCATATCCCCATGGCTGTGGGGCTGGAATTGCTGGGCTGGGGGGCATGCGGTGATGCCATGGGTGCCGCATGCGCCGCGCAGCTCCGGGCGCGAACGTCCGCCTGCTGTCATCGCCACGTGGGCGCCGGCCACAGCCACAGGGATGGGGGGAGATGCTTTTAAGCTAATCCTGCCCCTGTGTGTGGGATCCGGCCGCGTCCCTCCTCCCAGTTTGGCACACGGAGCTGGGGCTGCGTCCTCACTGTGCGCAGGGATGGGGGTTTGGATGCGCCCCCCCCCCCCCGGCACGGGATGGAGCCCAGCTGGCAGCACACGCTGCTCCAAACGATGAGCACGTGGGGGTTGGTGGCTGCTGCCCCGGTGGCTCTCGGCCCGGTGACGCAGAGGGGACGGTTAATCCCGGCCAGCTGGAGGGCTGGGGCCTCAGCACCCCATGGGACACCCCACATCTGTGGCCTCTGGGTGGGGGACCTGCGTTAGGGTCAGGATCGGCGTTAAGGTTAGGGCCAGGGTTGGCGTTGGGGTTAGAATCGCCGTTAGGATCAGAGTGAGAGTTCTGGTCCCTAATGCTCCCCTGATCCCCGCAGAGCCCAGTGGGGGCAGCACCAAGAACACGCCATGGAGCCCAGTTTGGAGGGCGCCTGAGGCCACCAGGATGGAGGGGGGGGACACGGAGCCCCCCAACATGAGCCTGGCCAGCCAACCCCACACCTGCTTTGGGGTGGTGAACCTCAGCCTCAGCCTCAATGTGACGCAGCCCAAAGCCATCGCCTCGCCGTGGTTCTCCACCGCCTTCGGCCTCATCGGGCTCTGCTCCAACCTCTTTGCTCTCTATGTGCTGCTCAGCTCCTCCCGTCAGCTCAGCAGCCGCTCGCGCTCCTCCTTCCTCGTCTTCCTCTGCGGCTTGGTGGTGACAGACTTCATGGGGCTGCTGGTGACCGCCGCCGTCATCATCCCGTACCACTTCACCAAGTTCAACTGGACCCAGGTGGACCCCGGCTGCCACCTCTGCAACTTCCTCGGCTTCTCCATGGTGTTCTTTGGGCAGTGCCCGCTGCTCCTGGGCGCCACCATGGCCGGCGAGAGGTTCGTGGGCATCAACCGGCCCTTCTCACGCTCCACCTCCGTCTCCAAACGCCGCGCGTGGGCCATCGTGGCCACAGTGTGGGGCTTCTCCTGCGCCCTGGGGCTGCTGCCGGTGCTGGGCTTGGGGCGGTACACCCTGCAGTACCCCGGCTCCTGGTGCTTCCTCACCCTGCTGCCCGACGCCGGCAACGTCGTCTTCTGCCTTCTCTTCGCCCTGCTGGGCGTCTGCTCCGTGCTGCTCTCCTTCGTCTTCAACACGGTCAGTGTGGTCACCTTGTGCCGCGTTTACCACGACCGCGAGTCGGTGCAGCGGCGGCGTGACAGCGAAGTGGAGATGATGGTGCAGCTGGTGGGCATCATGGTCATCGCCACCATCTGCTGGATGCCGCTGCTGGTGAGGCCTTGGGCTTGGGGTGTCCCTGCTGGTAGGGTGCCGTGGTTCCTGGTGTCCTCTCCACGTCCCTCCTGGTGCCCCAGTGTCAATCCTGGGGGGTTCTTGGGTGTTCCTCATGGTGGGGCTTTGATGTCCTTTGTGCCCCTCTTGGTGGGGTCCCGTGGTTCTGGTGTCCTCCCCACGTCCCTCCTGGTGGATCCCTGGGTGTCCCTCATACCCCTCCTGGTGGGGTCCCGTGGTCTTGATGTCCTCCCTGTGTTCCCACTGGTGCCCCAGTATCCTTCCTGGTGGGTCCCTGGGTGTCCTTCCTGGTCCCTGGGTGTCCCTCTTGGTGAGGTACTGGTTGTCCCTCTTGCCCCTCCTGGTAGGGTCCTGTGGCCGTGGTGTCCTCCCCATGTCCCTCCTGGTGCCCATGACCCTTCTTGTCCCTCTTCTTGGGTGCCCCTCCTGATGGGGCTCCAGATGTCCCTTGTCTTGGTCTCGGTGTCCCCCCATGTCCCTCATGGTGATGGCACAGGTCTTGGTGTGTCCTCCTGTCCCTTTGGGTGAGGTCCTTGTTCTCGTTGTCCCCAGATGTCCCTCATGGTCTTGGTGCGTCTTCCTGTGCCCCCCTTGTCCCTCCTGGGGTGCCCCCCCAGTGCCTCTCGAGGTGAAGCCCCAAGTTCCAATGTTCCCCACTGTCCCTCATGGAGATGCGCTGGATCCTGGTGTCCCCATGGCTGAGACTCCCAGCCCAGATGTGCCCCCACTTTCTCCCCCTCAATCCTTTGGGGCTCCCCCAAACTCGGCAGCCCCAAAAAGTGACCCCCCTTCCCTTCTCCCTCCAGATCTTCATCATCCAGACCTCCCTCCAGCAGCTACGGACGGGTGACCCCCTCCACGTGCTGCCGGGACAGACGCAGCAGCTGCTGCTCATCTACATCCGTATGGTCACCTGGAATCAGATCCTGGACCCCTGGGTGTACATCCTGTTCCGCCGCGCAGTGCTGCAGCGCCTGCACCCAGGGCTGCGCACGCGGCCCTCCCTGCTCTCCCTTTACCCCGTCCTCAACCCCTCCCTGCGCCGCAAACTCACCCAGGAGGGGCGGCTGCAGTAGTGGGGACCCCCTCCTCTCCCCCCACCCCCTTCCTCTATTGATTATGGAGGTTTTGTTCTGTTTTGGTTTTATTATTATTATTATTGTTGTTATTTTTCACCTTGCAGCTGCAGGAGCTGAGCGCAGTGGGAGGGACGGGGTACCCAGCAGGGCAGCCATGGAGGCGTCCCCTCCTCTCCTCTCTCCATCCTGCTCTGTGAGCTCCTAATAAAGCACAGCTTGTGCAGCACTGCGCGCCCCATGGGATGTGGGGACACACAGCGGCCCCACGCCTCCAGTCTGTGTGCGCAAAGGGCGACAGGTGGGACCTCAGGCAGCCACCCCCAGGTGGGAAACACGGAGTGGGGGGGGACCTGGCCGCCCCCCAGCTACTCCTGCCCACCCCGGGGGCTGCAGACGGCCGCCCACACCTCAGCCACAAACTCCTGGGGGAAGGCAAACTCTCCCAGCACTGAGTCGACGGCGCAGGCGAGCGCGGCGGCAGAGGGGCTGCATTTGGCCATCTCCACCATGGTCGCAGCTGCAGGAGGAGCGGGGTCAGAGGGGAGGTGGGTGTAGGGTTGGGGGGGGAGGGGGAGCAGCACCCACCCAGCTCGCAGTCACGGATGCCCATGTAGCTCTCCAGCAGGTCGTCCACGCGGCGCGCAGCCTCTTCCTCCACGGCGCTGGGCTGTGGGGGGGGGATGGAATGCTGAGCATGGGGTCACCCCGTGAGGCACGTCCCCCCCAGACTGGTGCGGGGGGTTCTGGGCGTGCCTTACCCCATCCTGCAGCGTGGCCGGGCCCTGGGCACGCAGTCGCAGTGTCTCCTTTCCGCTGGACACTCGGCCTTCAGGTGGGCACTTGCTGCTGCTCCGCGTCCTCTGCCCGATCATGTCTGAGCCCCACAGGGGGGTGGGAGGGGGCCCAGGGTTGGGTGTCCAAGAAGAAAGGGCAACAGGGATGGAGGATGACCAAGGGTGTCCAAAAATAATGAATGTCCATCCAGTGATGGACATCCGAGGGTGAGCAAAAACAACGCGGTGATGGGCAGCCAAGGTTGACCAAGAATGGGTGCGGGTGCACACCCAAGGGTGACCCATGGTGAATAACATGGACACCCAAGGGTGACCCATGGTGAATAACATGGACACCCAAGGGTGACCCATGGTGAATAACATGGACACCCAAGGGTGACCCATGGCAAACAATGATGGATCCGAAGACGATCCATGATGGATAACGATGGACACCCAAGGATGATGATGGACATCCAACAGTGGACATCCAGGGATAAGCAAGAATATCCAACTATAGATGTCCAAGGATGACCAAGAATGGACAAAGTTGGAGACCTAAGGATGACCAAGAACAGCCAAGGATGGAAGTCCAAGGCTCTCCCAAATGCTATGGGGCAGCACAAGGAAGGCACCGTGGGGGAAGGATGGGATGCACGTGTGCTTGTGGCTGCCCCAGGGCGGCCAGCTAAGGGTGGTTGCAGAGGCAGCTCGGTCTGTGCAGGCACACGTGGGGCTGTCCCTCCATTCTGGTGGGGGTCTCAAAGCAGAGCAGCCCCCACCCCACTCACCGAAAGCCTTTTTGGGCTGCACCAGGCGTAGGGTGAAGGGCTGAGCGCGGGGCAGCTCGCGCAGCATGCGGGCCACCTCATAGTGCCGGCAGCCCACGATGGTGTGGTCGTTGATGGCCTCGATGCTGTCGCCCACACACACAGCCTGGATGCGGTTGATGATGCTCCCCTCCTTGATTCGCTGGCGGAGGGGGGCACACGGTGACACCCCACCCCTCCACACAGCGATTTCCTTTTCAGATTTAGGCAGGGAGACCCCAAAACGCCCCATACAGAGAGTCACCCCCAGGTCAGGGCAGACCCCCCCCTCAGCCCCACACATTTTCACCTTGATGAAGGCGTAGCCAGCACCGTTGTCGGTGATGGTGAGCCCCAGCGCGTCCTCGGTCTTGGTCACCTCCACCTCCTTCGTTTCACCACGGACGTGGGCAAAGATGAAATCCTCCAGCCCGATCTGCCCCCCCAGCAGCTTCTGCATGTCCACTTTGTGCGTGTTGAGCGTGCAAAAGAGGATCTGCCCCCCAACGCCCCGTCACCGCCGCTGGGGACGACCCCGGCATCGGCGTCAGCCCCGGCCCCCGACCCCTCACCTCGGTGGGGGAGATGCCGAACACCTCGGCGATCTTCCCGTAGAGCTCCTTGACGTTGGTGAAGCCCTCGATGCGCCCCGTGGGGCTGCCGTGGGCCAGCTGGGTGCGGAACACCAGGCGAGGGCGGGCGCGGGGCGGCCGTGGGGCCGAGGTGCCCTCGGCGGGGGGCGGCTCGGGGACCCCCGGCTCCTGCCCCACGCCGTTCTCCATGGGGCGTTCCTCCTGGGCCTGCCTGCCGCGCCTGCCCGCCCGCCGCATCGCGCCGCTGCTGCTGAATTATGGATGGGCAGCCCGTAAGGCGATCCCGGGGGCTGGGAACCCGATCCGATACGCGGGGCCGCCCCGGAGATCGGGTGAGCGGTGCCACGGAGAACCGCGGCCGCGTCCTGGATGTGGGGATGGGGTGGGAACGGGGAGCTCGGGGCCGCCGCGCTCAAAGCCATGGGGCAGCAGAGGGCGCTGAGCCGAAGGCGTGAGGATAAAGGAGCGGGGACAGCAGGACCAAGGGTGAGAGGACGGCGAGATGAAGGACGGGGCTGGGAAATGAGGACAAAGGGCACCCAGAGCTGCTCTGGAGCCCAGCCGGAGCACGAAGGCACAAACTGCAAAACGTTTTGTTTTTATTTCTCCCAAATTTATTCACTCCCGTCTCCATCCCAAGCCAAGCAGCCACGAGATGGCAACCAGGAGATTCTCTACAGAAAGAGCACCGACCTTGCAGGCGAGAGAAAAGGGTCAGAGCCCCGCCTGGGTTGAACCCAGGGAAGGAGCCACGTAGTGCTAGTAAGAAAATAAGACACTCTCTAATTACACGATCTGAGATTAGTGACAGGCAGCACCAGGGCTGGCACGGCGGGGGGAGGACGCGGCCGCCGTCACGGTGGTCCCACGAGGCCAAGGAGGAAGGGCTCAAGGCCCACAACCCCCCAGCATGAAGGGGAAGGAGCTGCCCCCACTGGTCCCATAGCACAGAGAAGAAGGAGGGCAGGCAGGGAGCACAGAGCTGAAGGCACCCACAGGCAGCAGCGAGGGGAAGGGGGAAGATTAAATAAAGCAGCCACAGCCTGGAGACACCCTGGGTGAGGCTGCTGTGCTGCTCACAGGAGGGCGGGGGGATGCTCGTGTGTTGGTCCCCAGAAGCTCGAGGTCCTCAGGTGTCACCACTGCAGGGCTGGGGCCACCCCGGGGTGCAGGGGATGCGGCCAGACCCCCAGCAGGGACTGTCCTTTGCAGGAGCTCCAAGGGACAGCGCTGCGGTCCAGCCGGCCCCGAGCTCTGCAGGGACTGGTCCTCATTCACAAATGTTCACTGCAGAGAGAGGAATGCAACGCCAAGCCACAGGAGTTCCATCCTCCTGTCCCACAGCAACACGGGGACACCCCAACCCCCCTGCAACCACGCCAGGACACAGGGGCCCACCTGGCTATGCGGGACAGGATCTCCTTGATGCGGACCACCAGCTTCTCGTGCTGCAGCGGGTTGCTCTCGATGGCGCTGTGCAGCTTGGCCATGTAGAAATCCAGGGTGCTCAGCGTTGGGGTTTCCCCAGTGCCTGCGGGGCAGCAGCTCAGTAAGTCCCCATCCATACCGGGGTGAGACCACGACCGTGGAGTCCCACCTCGTGCAGTAGCAGAGCAGGCAGCGAGGCAGACCCAGGGACAAAGGTTTGGGTAACAGCTCTCCTGCAGAGCTGTGCATCCAGAGACAAGCTCCCAGCCCATCCTCGCCCACTACAGGGAAGCCATCCCACCCCAGAGTGCTCCTGGGTCCTCCTCCCACCAGATGGGCACCCATCGCTGCCCCACTGATGTCCTCTTATGGTCCCTACTGGCACCGATGCCGCCCCACACTCACCAGGGATGGGGAGGGAGGCAAAGCTGGTGGTGAGCGCCTGCCGTACCGACTGCAGCTGCTGCTGCAGGGCCAGCGTCTGCCTCTCCTCCTGCGCCAGCTCCTGCTCCAGCTTCTCCTTGGCACAGTTCATGCTCTCCGTGTGCTTCTGCAGGATGGCATTCTGCTCCTCAAACTCTGTGTTCATCTTCCGCAGGCGCCGCAGCTCGGCCTCCCGGGCTGCAGGGACAGAGCGGGATCAGAGGGGCTCAGCGATCCCCACCCCAAACTCAGCCCCTTCCCCAGCCCCACACCTTTGTTTTGGTCCAAGAACTCCTCTGTGAAGATGGGAACGTCAAAGGTGGAGAAGGCATCGCTGCACTCGCCAGCCTGGGGAGCAGCAGGGCACGGGTCAGACAGCAGGACCCCGTGCTCCATCCCCGCCCTCACCCCGAGCACAAGGAGGAGGCAGGCAAGGGATGGCTGTGTGCCGCCTCCTGCGGCTTCAGGCTCTGTTTCAGTGGGAATTGGAGTCCTGGAGCCCACCCTGGGACTCCCTCAGCCCCTCCTCACCCATCCTACAGGCCAAACCCAGCAGCACCACAGGCCTCAGTTTCCCCACGCAGCCTGCAGCGCCTTACCTTCTGTGGGTGCCCATTCAGCAGGGTGTTTGCTGCTGCAGAGCTGGCGTCCTCTGGTGAAGAAGGAAGCAGGTTACCTCCAGGAGACCCCCAGGACTCCCCAGCAGCACCAGGCTGCATCCCGAGCAAGAGGCACCAACACAGCACACCTTTTTTGATCTTCTTCTCCTGGATTTTCTCCGTGCACATCTTGTAGGCTTCCGACTGCTGGTATTCCCGCAGCTCCTTCATGTACTGCTGCTTCTCCCGCTCTGCTTCGTCCAGGTAGCGCTACAGACACAGCAACGCTCAGCCTGGCTCAGCCCAGCCCAGCAGCAGCTCCCCAGGGTGATCCCATCCCACCCCTCGAGGCCCAGCAAACATTTTGCTGCCCAGACCCCGCGTACGCAAAGACCTCAGCTTCCAAACACACCGAGATGTGCGGCACAGCCATTGCCAGCAGAGGGGTGAAGCTCCCAGAAGGAGCTGGAAGGTGCAGGGACCAGGGACGCGCCGCCCCAGCCCAGAGAACTCCTGGTACCTGCTTCTCTGAGAGCTGCAGCTTGCTCCACTCAGCCCCCAGCATCTTGGTGATCTCTGGGAAGGGCAGGTCGGGGTGCTGCGTGCGGATCTGCTCGCGCCGCTCGTTCAGGAATCTCACATAGCCTGTCACCGGGGCCTTGGGGCCGTTGGGAAGGATCTTCTTCCTCTTCTTGCCCTTAGGCCAACCCCTCTTCTTCACTGGCTGGTGCCCCAAGGATGTAAAAGGACAAGAAAATGACAAGTGGGTGCTGATGGGAGCGCAGGTGGTTGTGCTCCGAGCTGCAGTTCTGGCCGTGGGTTTGCCCAACCCTGCAGCACAGCCCAGCCTGGCAGAGCAGAGGGACAGCCCCAGCTCCGGGTTGGAGGTCTGTGCAGGAAGGGATCTCAGAGGCTGCCGCTCACCTCCTCCTCGCCGTGCGGCTTCTCGCTGCTGGCACGAGCCACCTCTCCCTTCTCCTGTTTGATGGCCACCAGGAAGTTGCCATGCTGAGCCTTGCCTGTTGCGTGCCTGCAGACAGACAGCGGCCATCAGGAAGGGCTGCAGGACCGCCGCAACATGTCCAGCATCAGCCAAGATGCCCAAAGCCCAGCTCCGCCTCCGTCACCACGCGATCCAGCAGCCCACAGGCCTGTGCTGAGCAGCTCTGCCCACATCACAGCGTCTCCCCCAGCTCCTTCCTATGGCACCGCTGTCCCTTTGATCCCACAGCAAGACGGGACAAATTGCCCAGACACAGCGACCCCAGGCTGCCTGCATCCCACAGTTACACAGCAACCACAGCACAGCTGGAAGGGAGGGAGCCGTGAAGGGCAACAGCTTTCCGCGCAAACATCATTGATTTTCACTTTCATCAAAGTCACAAGATAGACGAGATGGCACAGGGTCAGCACAAACCCCGCGAGGGAGAGGAAACCTGGATGCACGTTAAAAGCTGGATGGATCCGGGCTGGCCCCATGGGTCGCAGCACTCATCAGTCACACCACGCACTTGGTGTGAATCCAGCTCTGCACAGAGCCCCCAAACTATCAGGTGATCCTACACAAGGTACAATTAACCACTGCTTTGGTGGGGCCCTTCCTGCTTGGCGCTGGGCTGACTGCTGCCACCAAAGCTTATGGGGCAGCGTATGAACGTCGTTTCCTGGGAAATCTGCTCCTGGGTCTCTGGGAGGCCTCAGCTCTTCGTTATCAGCCCTAACGAACCTACAGTTACACCATGGAATGTGCTGAGAGCTGCCAGGCTCAGCCTCCCCCACATTCCTGTCGTGCCGGAGGACGCTTTGGAAAGTCACTGCGTTCCAGGCAGGGTCCTGCTCATACCTCAGCCCCCTGGGCACTGCACCCAGCACAGCTGAGATGCCCTCGGGGCAGGTGACAGACAGAGCGTGGTGCTGGGCACCCAAAATGAACGGGGAGCCCACTGATCTGAACCCCACCAGGCGTGTTCTTTCATACCAGGCCCTATGGGGAGAGCCCCGAGGCCGGCAGCGGGGCTCAGCGGGGGCACTTACAGCATCACTGCAGGCTGCTGCTTCGCGCTGTGGGCCATGGGCTGCCAGGGTCACTCGGAGTCAGACCCTGAGAGATGAACCCGCAGACATCATTTGGGGTCCCTGGAGGCCGCTGAAGCCGCAGCCCCCACTGAAGCCACTGAAGCCCCCACTTCCCTGGGCCAAGCAACCCCCAAATCCCTGCAGCCATCGCTCCCCAACCTCCACAACCCAAGGCCTCCCAGGGCGCCTATTCACCCCCAGCAGTTCAACCCCAGCAGTTCCCACTATGGACCCCCATCCACTCCCAGAAATCTCCCCCTCGGGACACCCACCCACTTCCATCAGCCTCCCCTCAGGGCCTCCATTCACACCCATTAGTTCCCCCCCACCAGAGGCCTCATTCACCTCCATGAGCCTCCCCACAGGGCCCCCATTCGGCCCCAGCGATCCCCCCCCAGGGCTGCCACTAGCTGCCATTGGTTCCCCCACCCCCCCAGGATCGTCATTCACTCCCATCAGCTTCCCCACAGGGCCCCCATTCACCCCCATCGCTCCCCTTTAGGAACCGTTTATCCCCCCCAAGATCCCCTCCCCGGGACCCCCAGCTCCCCCCGCCGCTCGCAGCCCCCCGAGCCCCTCCTCTGAGCCCCCCGGCCCCCAACACTCCCAGCTCTCCCCCGGCCCCCACACAAGGCCCCCTCCGCCCCCCCAGCCCCGGCCCCCCCCCTCCCATATCGGGGTCCCCCTCCGCCACCTCCCAAGCACCTCCAGACCCCCTCGGCCGCCCTTCCTCACCCGGCCCCGCCCCTCTATTATTATGCAAATAAGGATCCCGCTTCGGCTCTCCCGATTGGTTTCTGCGCCCCGTCGTGGAGCGCACGATTGGCTGCAGCTGTATGACGTCAACAGGAAGCGGCAGTGAGTGGGCGTGGCGAGGAGGAAGGCCTACGTTGCGTGCGTTGAGCTCGGCGCGCGCGGCCGGCCTCCCAGCCAATCAAAAAGCGGTGTGCAGACGCGGAAGTGCGGGGAGTTCAGAGCCTTAAAAAGGCAACGACAAAGCGCTGGGCCCACTGCTAACCATTCGCCTCCAGTGCTCCCAGTCTCCACCCCGGCAAGGAGCGCGGGGCGAGGGGGTTCCTGCTCCCAGGATCCACCCCGGGGGGGTCACAGGAACTCCAGCTCCCCATCCCTAATCCTCCTAGTGATCCCAGTTCCTCCACATTGCCCCCAGTGACCCCGACACCTCCTCAGTGGATGGGGTTCCATGACCCCAATACATCTCACTGCTCTCAGTGACCCCCAGCAGCCACCCACAGCACTGGCGGTGACCCAACTCCCCCACTCCACTCAGGGGACCCCAGCGTCCCAGAACCACCCACACAGCGCGTGGGGTGAGCAGCACCGAGGGAACACCAGGCCCAGGGCTGAGGGTGCACGAGATGCCCAACGCCCAGGGAATGCAGTGCCAGTGTGAGCAGCACAGAGCACAGGACTCAGCACTCAGTGTGACGGTGCCCAAGGTTTGCCATGACCTGGGTGCATAAAGCTCAGGGTATTTGATGCCCAGGGCACACGATGGTCAAATTATCCAACGCACAGAGTGCACAAATCCCATGGCACACAGTGCCCACGGTGCCCAATGCCTGGTGTGTGTGAAGACTGAGTGCAGAATATCCAACGTGCCTAACAGCCGTGGGTGCACAGCGCCCAGAGCACCTGACCCCGAGGTGCCCAATGGTGCCCAAGGTGCCCAGTGCCCACGGGGCAGGAATCTTAGGGCACACAGTGCCCAGGGTGCCTGATGCCCAGAACACGCAGCACCCTGAGCACTGCTGTCCAATGGGCTTGATTCCCACTGTGCACAAATTCTGGGGCCAGGGTGCAGGAGTCCCAAACTCCAGGGTGCAACAGTCATAGGGCACGCCATGCGCAGAGCACTGAGGTGCACAAATCCAAGGGTGCACAGCGACCAAGGGCACGTGATGCCCGAGGTACCCAGTGCTGTTGGATTTGAACCAGCTGAGTTCCCTCAAACTGGTCTCCAGTTTGCCTGATGCCCTGAGTGCATGAAAACCAAGGGCCCGAATGCCACAGCACACGATGCCCAAGGTACAGAAATCCAGGGCGCCCAACATCAGGGGATGCTGGCATTTGGAGGGGGGCAGGCAGCTCACAGCTGTGGGACTGGGAGCCAGCTGGGGCCACCCCAACCTCCCGTTCAGATTTTCACTTCCTCTGTGAGTCACCGCTCCGTCCTCACATGACAGCAGGGACAGAGCCGGGGGTGACGCAAGGCTCCGGCCCTGCAGCCAGAGCTGCCACAGGAATCACAAGACCTTACACCAATGAAAACTGTTTATCCGGAGCATGCTGGCCTTGGGGCTCAGCCACTCATTTGGTGCCCACACGCAGAACCTGTGGCCATGTCAGGGTGCTCTTGGCACCCCCCCTCTGCAGGGTGAAGGGCGGTTACATCCACGGTCCCCAAAATCACATGGACCCACGGCCCCCCAGCCCGGCAGCCCCCGAGGTGCCCCCACAAAAAAACAGGGACCTCCCTGGCCCCAGTAGTGCCCACAGCTGTCAGCATCCCCCGTGATCGCAGCGTGCCCGTGGGCAGTGAGTGGAACCGGGGCTCTGCGTGTCCTGCAATCAGAGCCACCACTTGAAACGGAGCTTTGAACTGTCCCAGCGTCCAGCAATAGTTCTCCTCCATCTCACCCCTGGGCAAACAAACCCACGGTCACGCTGCCCAGTGTGGGTGAAGGGGGGAGCGGGGGTCCCTGGGCACGGGCGAGGGCCTCACACCCCACCTACCCCACTCCCGCCCCACTGCCACGCACAGGGGCGCCGCTCCTTCCCTACGGGACGCCCCAAAAAGCGCACGGACGAAGCCCGGAGGTTGGGCACGGGGTGGGCGGGGTTGGGGGACTCCCGGCGCCGCGGGGGCCCGGGGGCCGCGAGCAGAACGCCGCGCCTCGCTCCAGCCGCACGCAGGCCGCGTCCCGCCCCCGCCCCGCCCCGCCCCGCACTGCCCGGCCCGGCGGGCGCTATAAGCGGGTTGCGGAGCGGCGGAGCGCCGGCGCGCCATGGCGGAGCCCGCGCTGGGGGCAGCGCTGCCGCTGCGGGCGCGGTTGAGTTTCGCGACCGGGCATTTCCTGAACGATCTGTGCGCGTCGCTCTGGTTCACGTACCTGCTGCTCTACCTGCACGCCGTGCTGGGTTACAGCCACGGGCTGGCCGGCGGGCTGCTGTTGGCCGGGCAGGTGGCGGACGGGCTGTGCACGCCGCTGCTCGGCTATGAGACTGACCGCTCGGCGGGCTGCGGGCGCTACGGGCGGAGGAAGTCGTGGCACCTGGCGGGTGAGAGCGGGGAGGAGGCGTTAGGGGGTGCGCGATTGGGGTGCTGAGGTTGGGGGTCTCACCTGGAGGGGGGGCGACTGCGCGGTGCTGCTCCGCTGCCTCTGAGATCCCCCGACCCTGCGGCATCCCGGGGGTGAATAATTGGGGTGCGCTGTGTGGAAGGAGCGGCGCTCGCTGAATGGCGTTGGGATGGGGAGGGGGTGGGAGGGCACGGGGAGAGCAGCACTGCATTCCGGTGTGTGCAGTGCAGAACTACGAGCCCCTTGGGGAGGAGTCGGGGTGAGAGGAGGAGAGTGGAAAGGGAACCCCGTGCAATCTGGGCTTCCCCCTCCACGTGGGGATGTACCCGAGGCCTGCCTGTGGCTGGGAACCCTGGAGCAGCAGGGACCTTGGGGTGCAGCATCCTTCCCTCGCCAGGGTTGACCCTGTTGGGACGCACGTGGGGTCCTTTCTGCCTCTGTCCCTGGTGAGCTCAGAGCACAGCAGCCAGCTCCCCACGGGGATGGGGAGGAGGCAGTGCTGGGTTTGCTTGAGGTGCTCACAGAGCTCATCCTGCATCATTATCCTTGGGGCAAAAACACTTGGGCTGCTGCTGATGTGGGGCCTGGAGGAGACAGCGTGGGCACGGGGCTGTGACACACATGGGAGTCCACAGGGCTGAGCTGGTGATGAGGAGGAAGAAATCCTCCACTGGACAGACAGGGAGCCCGGAGCTTCCTCCTGTAATGAATGGCACAGTGCTGCTGGAACTCGCTGCTGCGTATCTGTGCAGGGTGAGGGCGGTTTGCTGTGGGTGCTGTTATCTTGATGCCAAGCTTATCTCAACCGCTCTGTGCAACCCAACAGCGGGCTGATAGGGCAGCTGGCCTGCCCACGACCCGCTGGGATCTCAGAACTGAAGTGAGAGAAAGTGTGCAGCGGGGGCTGCCTGACTGCCTGCCGCAGCATCTGTCAGGTCTGTGCCCCAGATTTGGGGAAGTGACCAACACTGTGAGTCCTGGCAGTGTGGGCAGCTCCGCTCCATCGGGGTGCAGTGAAGGGGAAGTCCTGAATCACGTCCTGTACTGGGCTGTAGCAGTGTGTGGACCACGAGGGCTGGGGGCTGAGCCCTGGGGGCTCCCAGCCGGCTCCGTCGCACTGCGGTGAGGTGTTCCTGTGAGCAGCAGCCGCGCTCAGGTCAGAGGAAACGTTGTGAAACCACAGCCTTGGGGGCGAGATACCACGAGATCCTATCAGCAGCACCTCCCCTCAGCAGTGCCACCTGGGGCTGGTGGTGGTGATGCTCTGCAGAAGCTGGGAGCTGCCCCGGGAGCTCCTGGCAGTCAGGGCTGGAGTGGGAGCTTGAGGGACTGTGGTGTCCTGCTGGGGGGAGTGGGGCTCCCAGCACTGCTCTGTGGCCACATGAGGACGAGGCTGTGCTGGAGGAGCCTGACTCTGCGGGGATGGCTGCAGCGACAGGACTGCAGGGAGGGTGAACCTAAGGACACACAGGACAAGGCGCTGCACCTGGGACTCAGTTCTGGCTGGATTTGATCAGCAGCTTTGTGGAGAAGCCAGCCTGTCCTTGCCTGCCCGTGCAGGCATCCCTTTTGCTTGCGGAGGGGACAGTGCCTGGCTCTGGTGTCACTGACTCAGCTGGGACCTTCCCAGCACAGATGCAGCGTCTGATGCTGGCGTGGGGACAGATCTGCTCCTGTTCCGTGTGCTGGAGATCCCCCCGGCCATGGCTCTGATGGCTCCAGCCTGCAGGAGGAGGGATGAGGGGACATGGAGTGGCCTTGTGCCTCCAGAGCCGAGCCGTCCTGGTGCCTTATCGCCCGGGGCAGGCGGTGGGGTGGCACGTGTCCTTGGGTGATTATCTGCATCCAGGAGGAGCTGACTTTGCTCCCCAGCAGCAGGGCAGGACCTGGCCGAGCAGCTGCATCCATCTGGTCCTAGAGAAGCTCACTGCTCCCCTCCTCTCTTCCCAGGTACCACTTGTGTCCTCATCTCCTTCCCCTTCATCTTCAACCCCTGCCTGGGCTGCAAGGAGGGCACTCCACAGTGGGCGGCCTTCATCTACTACCTCCCCTTCATCATCATCTTTCAGTTCGGCTGGGCGGCCACGCAGATCTCCCACCTCTCTCTCATCCCTGAGCTGGTGACCAGTGACCATGAGAAGGTGGAACTCACAGCTTTCAGGTGACATGGATCTTCCTGACCTAAACCTTTTGGTGCTAAGGAGCAAGGTCGTGGTGCCGGGGATGCTGGTGACACAGCAGTTGCCGTGCCGTAGTGATGAGCCACTTTGGGACTGGAGAGTGATGCTCCCAAGGAGGGATGTGACCCCAGGTGACGCAGGGCTGAGACACTGCCCTGTGCTGGCAATGTGTGCAACTTGTGCTTAACTGGCAGGATCAGGCTGTGGGAAAGAGAGTTTATCAGATTTGCTTTGGTTATCTGCCCAGCAGGAGGAAGTTCCCCTTTCATCAGGCAAGCAGGCACAGCAGCACAGCCATGCTGGAAGGCTGTGGGTAACCCTGGGGACAAGTGGTCCTGCTTGGGGATGACTGGGGCTGAGCATAACAACCCAAGGGATTTTGTTTTCCTCTTGGTCCTGCCCCCAGGCTTCCACTGGGGATGCTGGGAGGGGCACAGGTAAGGTTAACGTGCAGCCAGTGCTCGCCTGTCCCAGTGTGCTGGAATGATGCTGTGGTGCCAAGCTGGCTCTAGCACGCCTGGTTTGTAGGGCAGCCTTGGATGGAAATGTCCCTGCTGCGGCTGAATCTGTGTGTGTCCTTCAGTGTCCCCCTGATGTGCCATCTCCCCCCAGGTATGCCTTCACCGTCATGGCCAACATCACTGTGTACGGCCTGGCCTGGCTGCTGCTGAACCTGCAGGTGGATCAGCCTGAGCGCACAGAGCACCTGGGCATCCAGGATGTCTCTGTGTTTCGGGTATGTGGCAAAGCTCAGTCCCTGGGGTCCTTTCTTCCCCTGGTGGGATGTAGCTAAACTGGAAGGCACCGGAGGGGTTGAAGTGGCAGAGTCCCAGAGCCTCTTGTGCTGCACTGCTCAGGGGCTGTGTCAACTCTCCTTGTGTTTTTGGGAACCCCTCTAGTCCACGAGAGTCCTGGGGGTGGAAGATGGGCAGGCAGAAGGTGCCCTGTGCTACACTCACTCCCCTCTCCCTCCTGCAGAACCTGTCCCTCATCGTGGTGGGGCTGGGGGCCGTGTTCTCCCTCATCTTCCACCTGGGCACCAAAGAGAAGCTGCACCCGCTGGGCTCTGTGTCGCAGCCCCAGGAGAGCACACCCCTGCTGCAGAAGGAGCCCACGAGGTCCCCACGCTCACTGCTGGTCTGGAAGGACTGGCTGCTGGAGCCCTCCTTCTACCAGGTAACAGCAGACATGGCACGGCAGTGCCAGCCTTCCTCACCTGCAGCTGCACGGGCTGAGCTGCCGTCCCTGTCCCTGTGCAGGTGGCAGTGCTCTACATGGCCACTCGGCTCATCGTCAACCTGTCCCAGACTTACATTGCCATGTACCTGACCAACTCACTGCTGCTGCCCAAGGTGGGTGTGGGGCACGTTCCTGCCTGCAACTCGAGGTTGCCTGGACACAGCGGGTCCTGTGCCGCTGGTCCGGAGCTGATCCTCTCCCTGTGTTTGTCTCTCACAGAAATATATTGCCACCATCCCTCTGGTGATGTACATCAGTGGCTTCCTCTCCTCCTTCCTCATGAAGCCTGTGAATAAGTGGATAGGTCGAAATGTGAGTCCTAGGGGCGTGGAGTGGTTTGAATCAGACCCAGGGCAGCGTGTTAAAACCTGCTCCTGAGCCCAGGGGCTGGGCAGAAAAGCCAAATCCTGAAGCCACAAATGAGCAGAGCACGTGGCACGCGTGAGCCTGGCTGCAAAGCAGAGACTCCTGCTGCAGCATGGGTCCTATGGGGCAGGGAGAGGGATGGCATGGGCCTGTCCTGCATACCTGAGGGTGCAGAGGTCTGGGGAAGTGATGTTGGTCCAGAGTCAGCCTGTCCTGTGCAGCCCTGGTGGGGCTGGGAGAGCCTTGGCTGTTCAGGAAGGGCGAAGGGTGGGCTTGGCTGAGCCACACTTGAGGTGTGAGAGTTTACAGCATTCCCTTCTGCACTGAAGCAAATGTCCTGGAGCAAAGCCCGCTCTGCTCCTGCCAGCTGGGTGCACAGACACCCTGCCCACAGCTCCCTGTTGGCTCCCCACCGTGGCCCCAACCCTTAGGCTGTAAAGCAGGCTGGGTCACTGCAAGGCCCCTGCAGTCTGGGGACTCCTAAGCCAGCTGAGAGCGATCCAGAGCTGTTGCTGTGAGACCTGGGGAGTGCTGGCCCTGCTGTCCTCCTCATGGGGTGTCAGCCGGGGCTGGAGCACAGATACTGAGCTCTACCTTGTCCCTGTGCCTGTCCCCTCACCGGCCCGGAGCAGCTGACGTACTTTGTGGGCATCCTGGTGATCCTGGCCTTCGCCTCCTGGGTGTCCCTGAGCAGGGAGATGGGAGCAGAGATCTACGGGGTGGCCGTGCTGCTCGGGGCTGGCTCCGCTACCATCCTGGTCACGTCCCTCTCCATGACTGCTGACCTCATTGGGACCAACACGGTACGTCTGTGCAGCAGCCCACCCCTGGTGCCCAGGATCTGGTGTGTTATGGGCTCTGTTGTAATATGGGCTCTGCCCATGAGAGGGCACAAGGCTCTCGCTGTGGGCCTGCTGGGCTGTGTGCCATGCGCTGGCTGCGTGCCTGAGGCTTCCTCTCCCCTCGCAGCACAGCAGTGCGTTTGTCTACGGGGCCATGAGCTTCACGGACAAGATGGCCAATGGCCTGGCTGTGATGCTGATCCAGAACCTGCACCCGTGCCCGTAAGTGTCCCTGTGGAGTAGGAATGCACACAGGGACAGCTGCAGCCAGACCTCCTGGTAGCAATTAACCCTGGTTTGGAGCGTGCTCTTACAAGGCTTGTAAGGCAAGAGACACGGGTAGAAACCACTTCTGATTTATCTTGAAGCCTTCCTTGATTTCTCTTTTGGTTCTAAGTGGCTGCGTCTCAGACACCTGAAGGGGTTCTCAAAGTCCAGAGCCTTGGGCTCTTCTCCCATGTCCCGGTGTGAACCAGTCCTGGGGGCAAGGACTTAGGGTCACTACCAGGCAGTGGGATGGTGGCAGCAGCTCCAGGGTACTCTGAACCCCGCCACCAAGTGCAGCCCTGTCCTTTCCCTGCAGGACTGAGCTCTGCTGCCCTGCCTGCGTCAGCTTCTATCACTGGGTGATGGTGGTGGTCACTGGGGGCATTGCCATGGCTGCCACCGTATTTCTGTGCTGCATCATGATCTGGCCCATCCGTGTCCGCTTCCGTGAGTGGGGCTGTGGGGCTCAGGGCGTGGGGAAGGGGCAGGCATGGGGCTGGGGACACAGGGAGCACCATGTCTGGTGTCAGCCTGGGCTAAAGCTGAAGTGTCTTTTCAGATGGCCTGGTGGCAGTGGGAAGCTGCAGGGTGACCCTCGTGGTAGGCTCAGCTCCTTGTGCTTCTGCTGCTCCTGGCCCCAGAGCTGGGGCTGTGCCTGCGGTGGCAGGATCTCTTCTTGCTTGGTCACGCTGCTTTAGGAACACGTGGTTGTTGGGGAGCAGAGGGGGCTGCTGTGCTTGCTGGCAGTCAGATGCAGGGCTGGGCTCCCCTCCCCATATGGGGGCCAGCAGCCAGGGCTCAATATTAGCTGCGGGATGTCCAGGACTCATTCTGCTCTGAGTGGGGGGAGAGCACGAAGGCCCCCACATGCGGGGCTCTTGTTTAATGTTGCATTGGTGCCAGAGTCCAGAGCAGCTCAGCCTGCAGTCACCCAGCCCCGCATGGACTCCTCACCTGCCCCTCTCGTCCCTACAGACGACATTGCCCTGCAAGGACTGAACGAAGCAGGGATGCAATACGATGACACAGAGTGCGCAGAGGACAGGAGCCTGAGCAGCACGGTCAACTGAGCGGCGCCTTCAGCCACAGCGCTGCCCACACTGCTGAGCCTCACCTGGAGGGACCCCACGGAGGGGACGGCAGCGGGACGGGGCCTCGGCGAGCTCTGCCTCCTCTCAGGACTCGACCCGCCGTGCTGTGGGGACGCGATGAAGGCTGTCCCTGTGTGTTTGCACAAGTGTAACACTAAGAGGGCCGGGCTGCAGGCGCGCTGCCGGACGGGGCGCCCGGCCCTCGGCTCTAACTCGCTTTGTAAGGTCAGTGTGTACACGTAGCACTTTTTTTAAAGAAAAAAAGAAGGAACAAACACAGCTCACCTCTGAACTTGAATAAATGCCAGTGTTGGCAAAGCCCTGAGCCCTCTGCTCTGGTGTGGGATGGCCAGGCCCAGGGGCTGTGGTTGCCCTGAGCTGTGCACGACCCCCAGAAGGAGCTCGGGCCCCGGCAGCCCCCTCAGTACGAAGTGAGGAAGGGTCCCTGCGCCGCCGTCCGCGCACAGCGAGGTTTGTGCGCAAGGCACCGAGTGCGGACCGCAAGATGGCCGCCCTCAACAAAAATGGCGCCTGCGGCCCGCGCCCGCAAACAAAATGGCGGCCGCGCGGGAGAGCTGGAGGGAGATGATTGGTTCCTAGGGGCCTTGTCCCGCCCCTTGCGTCCCAGTGGCCAATGGGAGCGCTCCTTACCGCACGGGGGCTGGTAGCCGCCCAGCGCTGCCAAGCCCTCAGCTGCGGAGCAGGCTCCGCCGCTTCCACTAAGGTGCGGTGCTCCCGGGATCGGGAGAACGGCGGCAGCGGCCTGGGGGCTTTCCGGGCTCGGCTGTGCCGCGCCGCGGCCCGGGCACGCTGCCTTAGTGGAGCGCACGGCCCTCGACTGTACCCTGGGGCTGAAGGCCGCGCTGCCTCGGGCGGCTCCGAGGGGCGAGAGGCCCCCACGCACCGCTGTGGTGATCGCTGTGGGGCCCGGTGCGGGAGGCTGAGCTACGCCCAGGCCCGGGGCCCCGCCGGGCACCGAGCAGCGGGCAGAGGGGCACCCGGGAACACGGGGCGCAGCCAAAAGGGTGCGAGGGCCCTGCACGTGGTGGGCACGTGGGCACGGGGTGGGAAGGAGGGAGCACCAGGGGGCGGGGCCTGATGAGAAGGAGGCGGGGCCCGAAAGGAATGAAGGCGGCGCCTGTGCAGCACGGGGGCTGCGGTGAGCGATGGGGGGAGCGGGCGCACGTGTTTGTGCAAGGGCAGTGCGCGTGCAGGGACGGGATGAGACGCGGCGTTGCAGGGCTGCTGGTGATGCAGTGACACGGTGCTGGGCTGCAGGCTGAGCATGGGGAGCTGCAGCAGTGCGGGTTCTGGCCGCTCCCTGCAGCGCGGTGCTGAGTGCAGGGCTGTGTCAGCGCGGGGCAGGGAGCAAGGGTGAGCGGGGCCGGGCTGGCAGCCTTGGCACCTGTCCCAGTCACCTGCGGGCAACACCAAGGGACTGCCCTGCTCCCCTCGGGGCTACCTGGCAGCTTGGTTTGGGGGGGATGTGGAGGGCTCAGCCATCCCCTCTGTGGGAAGAGGGATACTCCGAGCCCCTTCCCTCCCGTGGGCAGAGGGGAGTGGTGGCACCCAGTGGTGCCGGCACTGACACCTGGCAGACCCCGTAGAGGGCTGTAGGCACGGGGGGGGGGGCGCATCCTGCATCCCACCGGGGATCCCACGGTTGTGCCATTGTGGTGGCGATGCCCTTTGCAGCCCCCCCACGCCCAGGTGCTTTTTGCTCCGTCCAGCCCCACCCGACGCCTCCCTGCAAACCTGCTGCGGCCGGTCCCAGCCCCGCCTGCCTGCCCTTCCTCGCTGAGAGAAGGAGGAGGAGGAAGAGGAGGAGGAGGCTGTGGGCTGAGGCTGAAGGAACGCGTGGGAGCGCAGGGCTACGGTTCATTGGGACGGGACGGGAGGGCTCAACTCCCCACCACCAGGTACCACCTGGGCTGGGCGGCAGCCTCAGCGCAGGGATTTTGCTCTCTGCCCTTCGATCCCCCATGTGTCCACCTTGGGAACCACAGAGGGACCTGGGAGCTGCCACCCGCTGCCTGTGAGCGGGTGCTGGGGGTGCCACGGCCGCTCTGAGGACACAGCTGTCGTCCCCATGGGTCCCCAGGGCTGTGGCTGATGGGGAAAACCTGGGGCACAGCACTTCCTGGAGTGGGGCAACGGTGGCTGCCACGCAGAGAGTGCCCTGTGGGGCCCCAGGGACCTCAGGGCATGGGGCAGGCAGCACCCGAGAGGCTCTGAAAGGTCGAGCTGCTCCTTGTGTGTCCCGGTGAGCCCTGGTGGCTGATTGGAGGGTGCTGAGCACCCCAATGTTGGCAGGGGACAGGCAGTGTCCCCCCCTTTGGACAGCAGGGGACAGGTGGGCAAGGAGGACCCCATGCACCATCGCCTGTGGATAACTGCAGCCAATTGTGTGAGCATGGGGCAGGTGAAGGGCTTGGGGACAGGGTAGGCTTCCCTTTTCTCATCCCCCCTCACCTGTTTGTGTCCCCCGCAGCATAGCACCGGGCTGCTCCATGTCGAGGAGGCTGCGGAGGAGCAGGAGGCTGGAAAAGCAGTGGCAGAGCCTGGAGGAGAGAGGCAGCGCGCAGCTGGACCCGCACCCTGCGCTCGCCAGGTGGGTGCTGCGTCCCTGACTCACAACCCCCATTTCCTGCAGTGCTGCATCCCTGAGCCACAGCCCTCAGGCCCCCACGGCTCAGTGGCTGCTGCTCCCGGCAGATCCAGAACCTACGACGCCTCCACCTGCACCGAGACCCCGGAGGCGTCAGGTCACCCAGGATCCCTAAACCCGGTGAGTCCTGGGGGAGAGGAGGGGGGACCCCATCCCCATTTTGTGGTCGGTACTGGGGGTGCCAGGGCTCAGCCCCACTCCTCGGCTTCCCCACAGCTCAGCAAGCACTGTGCTGCCTTCCATAAAGCCTTTGAGGAGATCGCAGGGCGTGAGGCTCTGCTGGCCTCCTTCTCCTGTGCCTGGCAGCGCGAGGTGCCCTACCACGGCCGCCTCTATGTCTCCTCCGGGCACCTCTGCTTCCACGCCAGCCTGCTGCTCAGGGACATCAAGGTGTGGGCGCGGGGCGGGTGTGGGGTGGTGTGGGGGCTCAGGGTCTGACCATGCTTGCTCCCCTCAGGCTGTTGTCCCAGTGGCTTCTGTCTGTGCCTTCAAGAAGACCAACACGGCACTGCTGGTGCCCAATGCACTCAGCATCCGCACGGAGCAGGGAGACAAGGTGAGCCTGGGGAGGGGGCGGTAGGGATGGGGCCGTGGGGGGGAACTGACTGCCCATCTCTCTGCCTGCAGTTCCTCTTTGTGTCGCTGCGCCGGCGTGAGGCCACCTACCAGCTGCTGAAATCGCTCTGCAGACACCTGCAGGTAGGCAGTGTGCTGGGTAGGGGCCGGGCTCTGTGCCCCCTGCACCCTGCTGCAGCTTTCCTTGTGCAGGACGACACCTGGAGCCCCCCAGCCTCTCCCCTCAACCACAGCAGTGAGCAAAGCCCTACGAAATCCTTGGTGAGGGAACGGCCGCAACGGCGCTGCATGGCCCCAGGGGGGGCTTTTGGGGGGAAATGTGGTGCTCAGAAGCCCCAGCCCCCTGCCAGCCCCCCACCCATCCTCCAACAAATCCCCGTCCTCCTGCAGACCTCGAGCCACTCGGATTTGGAGCAGTGCACACCGGAGCCCGACGGTCTCCTGGAGCAGCAGGGTGAGCAGCCACCCCATTGTGCCCCCCACAACCTCCACAACCCCCCCATAGCCCCTGTAGGCACCCTGTAGGCCTCCCTTCTTGGGGCCGCCCTGTGCGCCCCATTGGGTCCCGAGGCACTTGAAGGGATCCCGGTTACGTGCAGATGAGCCGAACCCGATGCTGAACAGAGCAGAGGAGGATGAGGAAAAAGAGGAGGAGACGGCAGAGGCCATTCCAGTTCTGGGCAGAGGTGAGCAGTGTCCTTGGCAGAGCCGTGCAACAGCTGCGCGCCCAGCACAGGGCCGGGACGACACCTCTCGGCCACGCTGCCGTCCCCCAACACTCCTCCTCCTGGCAGGGCGACCCCGCACAGCACTGCCAGCCCAAAGCGCCGCACAGCTGTGTGCTTTCAACACCATCATCGTGCTCTACCTGCTGCTGTGAGTCCCCGGGCAGGGGACACCGCCACCCCCCGCTCTGTGTCCCTGTCCCTGACCTGTGTTGTCCCCAGGATGGTGGCTTTGCTGCTGACCTCGGGGTACATCGGGCTGCGCATCCTGGAGCTGGAGCAGCAGCTGGCGGCCATGGGGGCTTGGCCAGAGCTCAGCCTGGTGCAGCGGTGAGTGAGGGGCGGCGGCCCCTTCACCCCCAGCTCAGTGGGAGCCCCTCACCCTGCCCTCCCTCCCAGGCACAAGAAGACGTGAGGCCAGCAGGGACCTGGCTGGCACCGGGCCACCAGCACATGGGACCGGCTCTGGGACCCCCCAGAAGGTGGGGGGGAGGAGGGGGTCCCCACGTACATTCCAGCACCCCCAGGGAGCCCCCGCGGGCCGTGGGGCTCCATCCCACCCCCTTCCCTCCGTTCTTCAGCCCCTGAGCTCATTGTGTGAGCACTGATCAGAGGGCAAAGCCAGAGCCAGGCCCCCACCGTGGGAGGCAGCCACCTCCAGGGATGCGGGCACAGCGGGGCCTGGTGGGCACAGGGAGACGGAACTATTTTTATTAATAAAGAGCTGACGTGGTGCTAGCTGTGCTGCACGGGACATCGGGGGTAGAGGGTCCCCCACCACAACGCTGACTGTGCCTCTGTTCCTTGGGCTGCGCACAGAGGCTTCGCCCTCCCCTCACCCCCCCCGTCGCAGCACTGTTAGCTGGGGGGGGCTGAGGGCTGGTGCTGCAGGAGGCTCCAGCTGCAGACATCCCGCGTGGTGGTTTGGGGGCTGCAGAAGGACAGCAAAGGGACGTAGCCTGAGCTGCCCCCTGGCGCCGCAGTGCCCTGGCTGCGGGTGGCCACTGCACAACAGAAGGAAAACGATGAGGGAGGGCGCAGGAGGGCACAGCAGGGCGCGCTGCCATCCCCCCCCCAGCTCTTACCGTACTCCTTGCCCAGGACGGGGCACTCCTGCCACAGGAAGGCTCCCCAGCGCGTGCCAGGCCCCGGGTAGGCAGCAGGGACAGTGGGGTCCCAGCAGGCAACCTCCCGCAGATGCTGGTCATAGACTTGGGAGGGAAAACAGGCTGCAGAGCTGGGGGCAGAGAGCAGGACGCCCCCCAGCTCCCCCCACACTCCCATCTCCCTCCCCCCGAGGATCCCCGCAGTTTCCCCCTCCTCAGTTCCCGGTTAGCGCCGTGCTTTTCCCCTCCCCGTTCCCCACCACCCAGCTCCGTACCAGGGGGCAGCGGGTCCAGTTCAGGAGCGCCGTGTGAGCGCTGCCAGCGCTGCCAGGCCGCGCTACGGGTGAGGCCGTCGCCGGCGTCCTCTGCCCCGCGGCAGCTCGGCTCCGTCGCCCAGCTCTGCCCCGCCGCATCCCTGCCCATGGGGGCCATCTTCCAGCGCACCGCCTGCCTCAGCACCTGCGCGCAGCGCGGCCCCCGCAGCGTCACGTACTGCTGGCTGCGGCACCAGGGGACATCAGCGCCCGCGGCACCCACAGGGCCCGGCCCCGAGCTCCCAGCGCCGCCTCACCTGCACAGCGGCAGAGGGAAATCCGTTTCCAGGGTGCTGAGCGGCACCCAGGCTCTGTGCGTCCCCGGCTCCATGCCCGGCCGCGGGAGCCTGCAGCACTGCTGGAACCGGCGCCCCGGCAACGGCCACTGCGGCAACGGGCTGGGCGCAGCTCCGTGCCCCTGGGCGCAGGAACCACTGCCCCGCGAGCAGCCGGCACCAAACGGCACCAAACGGCACCAAACGGCACCAAACGGCACC